CCACCCCCTCGCCCAACTTTCTCCTGAACACGCTCCACACCCGGTCCCAAGTCACATCACGCCCTCCCCTCTATATGCACTGCAGCGCGCCCGCGCTTGCCGCTCTCCTTACTTATCACGGCTCTATCTCTTCTCCTGAGCCTTTAGGCACCCCTATCAACCTCCTGTCGTGGAATCACGACGGTCTATATTATGTAGCACTTATGATTTTTCCTTCGGTATGCGTTGAGAGTAAGTACTTACTGGAAGACGAACATTGTCCGGCATTCTCCGGCCCACGTCATCCGCCGCCGCTGCCGATCCCACGTTTTGGCACTCGCGCTCACGCTTGACATGATGTCACACTGCGCTTGACTAAATGGCACCGCAATGGAGCGTTCCACGTTCCACGACGGAGTCCGCAGAACCCTGTACGCGCCGCTCGACAATGGCAATGCTTCAGATCCGGTCTGTCATTTCCATTGCAAGATCACACGCAAGTCGATCAACATTATACCCCGCCTTCAGGCCTGCGCCTCGCATTTTCACACTCTCTGAGCGACTCGCCAATGCGGCGCAAATTTTCAATCAGCTTAACGCGCCCTTGATTGGACGTACGACGAGCTTGACATATAACTTACCCTTTATGCCTACATCAGTACTTCAGTGCTCGTCAGCGAGACAACGACCCGCTGGTCTTTCTCGGCACCGCCAGTGACGCGCCACGCGCGCGACGTCAGGCGCTCAATATGCAGTCTACCTGTCGCGCTGTAAGGTATGTGCTGAGGCCTTCTCCGATTCATGGTCATAAATCACAGCGCTCAGGTTATTGTCGAACAAGGGTCGAGGTCACAGAAAGCGACATGCAACGCGGTCCTAAACATGGTCACAGAGACCTGAATGAGTATAAGAACTCGCCTGTACGGTTGTTGATCCCACCACCCAGCTCGAGCCGTCCGAGCAGTCCACAGAACCGAATCTTCAATCGTAAATTTCTCTAGAATGGCTCATCGTCAACATCCCCAAGGGTGAGCAGCCAAGTATCAGGCAGTCGAAGGCTCTCGTACTCATGGACTTCCCAGCTCCGTTCACCCTACAGCCGGCCGCAGCCAGCCGGCAGTGACCCAGCAGCAGATCGAGCGGCTTACTACCGCGGCGGCGTACAAGGGTTTATACCAACCTCCCCAGCCCTCAGGACCTTATCTGTCTCCTCCGTCTTCTGGACCACCGCTAGCCGCCTCTTCCGGGCATGCCTCTGCTAGCAACCAGCCCCTTGACGTGCGCTGGGCGCCCCTTCAAACGCCGCTCTCGCCTCCACGGTCGTTCCCGGACCAATCCGTGCGTTCCGAGATTCATACGGTCTTCAGTTCGGATGGAGTCAGGTACAAGTACATCGGCCCTCGAATCAGAGGCCGCGGGCGCAACGTTCTCCAGCGTATTGAGGACATGAGCGCGGATCCGGACATCAAGTCTTTCGGGCCTTACGACATCGTCTGCGCGGGATGCAGCCGTGTTTGTTTGACGCAAGAGGGCTCCGGGATTTACCTGGACTACCAGAGTAGCTGGGGGCACCATCGTTGCAGCACTCTCCGGGAGTGGAAGAGCCCGACTTCGGCTCACAAATTCACGGCGGCGATGCGGGCGGAGCACGAGCGCTCGCGGGGAGCGTCTAGGGATCTGGCTGTGAGTGATTCCCCTCGAAAGTCTTTTATGGACATCATGCCTAACGAGCCGTAGCTAGCGCATCTTCAGAGCAAGGGGTATCTTGAAAGGGTGTACTAGTTCATAATCGTATAGTCGTCACAGGACCAACTCCGCTTACAGTCCATCTTTCTACTACCTAGTCCATGCGCTTTCGCTCGAATGTACACCTTCCAATAAAATGGGGGGAGGGTGCGACGTAATGTCTACTTTGATGGGGAATATGGGCGAGGAGAACGAGAGGTTGAGAGCGTTGATGGAAAGACGGAACGAGGGAGTGGGAGGAGGAGGAGTGGACGAGGAGCCGAGAAGAAGAGGAGTTGAGGGTGTGAGGGACGAGTCGGAGAGATGAGACGACGCGATGTATGGCTGGACGGGGCGAAACGAGCAAGGAAACGAGTGTCGCAAGCTGACTCCGAGTGACGAGTGGAGAGGCTGATTAAGAGGGTGTAGAAATTCGGAAGGTGGAGAGAATGGAGTTGGGCCTTCGGTCTGGAGATGGCTCGAGAGATCGCTGAGTCGCTTCGAGTACTGTATTTACGGATATCTATTATCGTACCCTGTTTCCCTTATTTGCATGCGTACCTATGTCTGACGTGTGTGCCCTTCCACCGCCTGCGAAGACGCGGCTGCATTTTTTTTGCTATCCACTGTTCGCCGTTCGGTTTATGCGATATGCAAGCGTGGTCGTCCGCTTTCGCCGGAAGACGAACATGGTCCGGCAATACCCGGAATATGTAACACGTTACTTGCGGCAGCTGCCGGCGATCACTCTGTCCTTTGCCACTCTTGACTTGCGCTTGACTGTATGACAGCGCCATGAAGAGTTTCCGAACGCGGTCAGTGAACTCTGTTCGCGACACTCAATGCTTCTTCCCGAATTGTTGCGAGATCATGCAAGTCGATCTCTTCGCGCCCCGTAGTAAATTCACGCTCTCTGTCTGAGCGGTTCGCATTTCGGCGGTAACCTTCAGTCAGCATCAGTCGCCCTCAAGAGTCCATTGCATACACGACGAGCTTGCTATTGCTCAATATGCTCGCGTCCGGGAGCCTCGTCACTGGTCAGCAGGACGACGACCCGCTGGTCGTTCTCGCCACCACGCGCCACGCGCGCGAGCCCCTGGCTGAACAAGCGACCTGCCTGTCGTGTTGTGACCGAGTCAAGGTACGTGCTGAGACCTTCCACGACTCACGGTCATAAACTCACATTTCATTAATCGAGGTCACAAAGAGCGACATGCGACGCGGTCCCAAACATGGTCCTACAGACCCGACTGACTATAAGACCTCTCCTGTACGCCCGATCATCTCACCGCCCAGTTTGACCCTTCTGAGCGACATCCAGCACCGTATCCTCACTTAACAACTTCTCTAGAATGGCTCAACGTCAACATCCCCAAGGGTGAGCAGTCTAAGTAACAGGCAATTAAAGGTTCTCATACTCATGGAATCCCCAGCTCCGTCAACCCCACTGCCGGCCGCGGTCACGGCGCTTTACCGGCACTGACCCTGCAGCAGATTGAGCGGCAAGGGTGGCTTACCACAGCAGAGGTTTGAATCTGTCGACCAAGCCATATGAACCTTCGCCAGCCGCCTCTTCCGGACCTCCGCAAGTCACATCTTCTGGACCTCCGCAAGGCGCATCTTCCGGGAATCCGCCCACAGCGTCTTCTAGGTATCCGCCCACAGCGTCTTCTGGGTGTCCGCCCGCTACCTCTTCTGGGAGTCTGTCCTCTACCGGCTCTCCCGTGTACTCGTCATCTGCGAGCCCTGGCGCGCACATGTCCCCTACCGACCCTGCTATGTACTCGTCCTCCGCCGGCTACGCCGCGTACTCGTTTTCTGCGAGCTCCAGCGCGTACTCGTCATCTGCGAGCTCCAGCACGTACTCGTCATCTTCGAGCTCCAGCGCATACCCGTCCTCTGCCAGCCCTCAGGCTTACCCGTCCTCTGCTCGCGGATACCCACTCTCCTCCGCCACTCCTAGTACGGACATATCATCCGGCAACTCGTCTGTTGAACTGCGCCAGGCGTCGTTCTCGACTACACGCTCCAGCTTTGAATCCGAGCAAGCCACGGCTCGCGGCATCGCGCCTGTGTCGTCGTCGGCGCTCTCGTCTGCTTCGTCGGCGCCACTCCCGCCTTCACGGTCTCCCGCGGGTCAGCGTCGCGCAATGCGCCCCAAGATCCCCGCGGCCTCCACCCCCGGCGGCCTTGTCCGATACATCTACGTGGGCGCTCCCACCAACCACGGTCGCAACGTCCTCCAGCGCGTCGAAGGCCTAACCGCGGATCCCATCATACGGTCGTTTGGCACCCACAGTATTGAATGCGCGTGCGGCATCGAAGTTTCTGACAGTAGTACCAGAGATTACAATGACAAACATTGGCCCGACCATATTGCCCGATGCGGTCTGGCTGCTGCCCGATGCGGTCTGGCTGCTGCCCGATGCAGTCTGGCTGCTGCCCGATGCGGTCTGGCGCGAGAGTGGGACGACCCGGCGTCGCGCTGGTACCTGACGGCGGAGACGCAGAGAGAGCTCATGCGGTCGCGGGCGGTGTCCAGGGATGCAGCTGTGAGTGATGAACTGTTCCTTGCTGCTATGTTGTGGTAAGTATGCATCTGACGGTGGATTACAGCTCGCGTATCTTGAGTATCAACAGCTGATTAGGAGGGTTTAGCCGTGGGCGTGTATGAGTCGCGATGGGCGTGTATGAGTCTTGGGCGTGTACTACGGGCCGAGACTCATGGCCAGTAGCTATGTAGTACAAGGCTTTGCCGAGGGGAGTCCACCCCAACGTAGATGCACTTTTGCTGTTCATGCACTTATACAGCCATATTCTCAGTCCCAACATATCCCCACTGTCATCGACATATCCGCCCATCATCGACATATGCCCCCATCATCGACATATCCCCATCGTCGAGGGACTGACAATTCATCCGCTGCACGGATATAGTAGTGCTAAGCAGGTGCTAAGTACTTTGGATTACTCCCTGATGATTGATCTCAAGTTCGTAAGCGTCGCGGCGAAGTGACCAGCGGTAAGCAGGATCATCCCAAGTTCTCCCATCACGCTCTCTACCCACCTGCCTACCACGCTCTCTACTACCCACCTTCCCATCACGCTCTCTACCACCCCTCCTCCCACGACTTTGCCCCTCCACCGTCCACGCCCACCGGTTGCCCTCACGCCCACCGGTTTCCCTCCGAACGCCCATCCACACTCCCGTCTTTCCCAGGTCTTTCCCCACCCACAAACCTCTCCTCACGCCCACCGCTTTTTATCACTATACCTACCCACTCCTCATCCCTCATGGCCTAATGGTCTAGTAGTATGATTCTTCCTTCGGGTTCTCCGCAACCCGCGCCGTAACCCGACGCGTCAGATGGAAGAGGTCCTGGGTTCAATTCCCAGTTAGGCCCCTAGTTGCGTATTAATATTTTTTTTCGTCATTCTTTTCATGCGTTTACTATCTTTCTTCATGCGTTTATGTACTATCTTCCTTCATGCGTTTACTATCTTTCTTCATGCGTTTACTATCTTCCTTCATGCGTGTACTATCTTTTTTTTCATTTGTTCGTTATGATGATTGACTCGTCGAGTGCGTTTCTTTTGACTTCTCAGCTGGGTTTTTGATTTAGCTGCACAGGTGGGTTTTTTGACTGCACATATGGATTTTGAATACGCGTCAAGTCGCCCTCAAGCGGCTACACTGTACCCGCCGTCCATGATATCGTTTTGACTCCCCCTCGTGCTCTCGCCCCCTCGTCGGGCCTGCGTTCCCTCGTCCCTGCGTTCCCTCGTCCCTGCGTTCCCTCGTCCCTGCGTCCCCTCACGGTTCGTCCTCTCGCCGTCCTCGAATCGCCCTGGCCTGGTTCAACTTCCTCTCGTCCTCAAAATACCCATCTCTCCACCTCACTCCCTCTCTCACCACCGCCCGTGGTCCTCGCCCGTCCCGCCCCTCGCCCATTGCACCCTCGTCCCTGCGTCCCCTTGCCGCTCATCCTCTCGCCGCCCGTTGCACCTTCTCTCGCGTCTCATCCTGTCGTGTCTCTCGTAGTCCTCTCGCTGCCTCTCCGCCCTCTCGCTGCCTCTCCGCCCTCTCGCTGCACCCCGTCCCCTCGTCCTCTCGCACCGTTATCCCTCTTGCCTCGCAGCCCCCTGGCCTGCCGCAAACTCGTCGTCATCTGGCCTGCCGCAAACTCGTCGTCCTCAAGCGGGGCCACCCTCTCCTCCTCGAGCTCGTCTCCTCATCCTCAAGCGGGGCACGCCTCTCGCCACCCGAAGCGCAGAATATACGGGGAGCGCAAATGCGAGGTTATACAGTATAGTCGGAGGTGGAGGCGTAGAGTCGGAGGTGGAGGCGTAGAGTCGGAGGTGGAGGCGTAGAGTCGGAGGTGGAGGCGCTAGAGTCGGAGGTGGAGGCGCAGAGGCGTAGACTCGGAGGCGCTAGAGGCGCAGAGGAGATTATACTAGAGGAAGCGCAGAGGAGGTTCGGAGGTGGAGGCGTAGAGGAGGGTCGGAGGTGGAGGCGCAGAGGAGGGTCGGAGGTGGAGGCGCTAGAGGCGTAGAGGAGGGTCGGAGGTGGAGGCGTAGAGTCGGAGGTGGAGGCGCTAGAGGCGTAGAGGAGGTTCGGAGGTGGAGGTTATACGAGAGGAAGCGCGGAGGCGAGGTTATACTAGAGGAAGCGCGGAGGCGAGGTTATACTAGAGGAAGCGCTGCAGGAGGTTGTACTAGAGGTAACGTTAGAGGGAGGTAACGTTAGAGGAGGTCATAAGTACCTGAGGAAACGCTAGAGGAGGGAGAGGTCCCGGATTCGCCTCACGACTCGGGAGAGGTCCCGGATTCGCCTCACCTCACCTCACCAGGGTGACAGCCAGAAACATCGTGAGTTAGAGTCATCGTGCATATCCTCTCCCTCATCGCTCACACATCCTCTTCTCATCGCGCATATCCTCTCCTCCTCGCGCATATCCTCTCCTTTATCGCGCATCCTTTCCTCCTCGCGCATATCCTCTCCTCATTGCACAGACATCCTCTCCTCCTCGTGCATATCCTCTCCTACTCGCGCATATCCTCTCATCGCACAGACCATCGAGTCCAAGTCGCATTCATCGCGTCCAAGTCGCATTCATCGTATGTGTATGATCACGTAAACAACATTTTCCCCTATTTCACCTCCCCCCCTCAATCCTCCCTACCCCTCACACCCCTCCCTACCCCTCAATCCTCTCCCCCCTCAATCCTCCCTCTCTCCTTCCCGACCTCTTCCCACTCCTCCCTCAATCCTCCCTCTCTCCTTCCCGACCTCTTCCCACAACTGCCCACGCATGCTTCGCTACTCGAACCCCTACTTCCCCTCATCGCTCGAACCGCTTCCACGCATGCTTCGCTACTCGAACCGCTTCCACCCCCCTCAATCCTCACCCCCTCACCCCTCTGAATCCTCCCCCCCGAACCGCTTCCACGCATGCTTCGCTACTCGAACCGCTTCCTCCCACTCTTCCCCTTCTCCCTCACCCCTCACCCCTCACCCCTCCCTACCCCTAATCCTCCCTCTCGAACCGCTTCCACGCATGCTTCTCGTACTCGACCGTCCGGCGGACGCGTTTGGAGGGGCTGGGTGGGTGGGTTAGCGATGAGTTGAGGTGATTCGTGGTAGGCGGGTGATGAGTCGAGGAGAGGAGAGAGGGGAAGAGGTGTTGGGGGTGGGGGGGGAAGAGAACAAAGGCGGGCGAGAGGGAAAGGAGAGTGGAGGGAGTTGGTGTTGGGGAGAAGGAGAGGGAGGAGAGGGGGGAAAAAAGGCGAGAGGGCGAAAGGGAAGATAGAAACCAAAGGATAGGAGATCGACCACCGCATCCCCGTGAGCGACAACCACAACCCCCCAAAAATCACGACCACTCACATCACCCGAACCCTCGGCTCCACCAGCGCCCGGCTCTGCATGCTCAGGAGACGGTCCCGGAATAGGTTGCCTTCGGGCTGTTAAGGAGGAATTAGTTCACGTATATTTGGGAAGGGGGGTGCGTTAGTTTGATTACGCGGGAGAGGGTGGTTAGCGTTGAGTAAGGGGTGGGGAAGGGGGGGTATTTAGTTTAATTACGCGGGAGAGGGCGTGTTTAGGTTAATTACGCGGGAGAGGGTGGTTAGCGCAAGATTACGAGCACGATGAAGGACCGGTACGAGCACGATGAAGGACCGGTACGAGCACGATGGAAGACCGGTACGAGCACGATGAAGGACCGGTACGAGCACGATGGAGGACCGGGGTGGAGAGGGAGGTAGAGGAGAGGGCGTTCTTGGGCGGGGAGGGGGCGAGGGACAAGGGGGACAAGGAGCCGGGGGCGTAAAGGTGGGGGACGTGGAATCGGCCGGACGCTCGTAACCAATCAGCCGGACGCTCGTAACCAATCGGCCGGAGGCTCGTAACCAAAGAGCACCGGACGCTCGTAACCAAACCCACACGCCACAACCAAACCCGAAAAACGCACCTTCACCCCCCTCAAACTCCCACTCAGCTCCTCCCCCAGCTGTACATCGGGCGCGACTATGCCCCCTTTACCACTGCCCACCACCATCCCACCCCCTCCCATACCACCGCCCACCCGGTGTTTACCGATCTTGGACCCCAGAAGCCCAAGCTTGCGCAGCCGGGCGGCGCGCGCGAGGCGGTTCTGAGGGAGGGGTGGGTGGGTTAGTAAGGGCGGTAAAAGGAGGGTATAAGGGCGGTCAATAGCGGCCCCTCAACCGGCCTCAAAACTCGACGGGCCTCAAAGTCGACGGGCCTCAAACTCGACGGGCCTCAAAACTCGACCGACTCTCTCTCGACAACCAACAGCCGACTCTCTCTCGACAGCCAATTCCATCCCCCCCCCCAATCCCCTTTACCCTCGCAAAATCCCAGCCTCCCCTCCACCCCCCCCCCCCCCCCAACCCCTCCCAATCACACCACTCAAAAAAACCTCACCCCCCCCCCCCCCCCAATCACCACAAATCAAGTAAACACCTCGCAAAACCTCTCTCCCCTTCCCAATCACCACTCAAAAAACACTCAAAAAAAACCACATAACTCACCCCCTCCCCCCTCACCCCCCTCTCCCTCGCCTCCCTACCCACCCGCCGCCGGAGCGCGCGCGCCCCCGGGAGGGAGGCCAGGAGCCGCTTGTGTCGGGTGAGGGCGAGGCGGGTGGTGGTCTGTTGGAGTAGTCAGTAGACTATAGAGGGTAAAAGGGTGGGAAGGTTTTGGGTTAGTGAGAATGCCTAAACAAACACGCACCTCGGCCTTCACCCTCGCTTCCCGGGCGCGTTGCTGTCTCGTTTTGCGCGGTGGGGCGGGGCGGGGGAGGGCGTGGTTGGTGGTGTTGGCGTTTTCGTCGTCGTCGGCGTCCTGGTCCGTATTGTCGTCCTCCTCCTCACCGACGGGCAGGACGGTCATGCCTAGCGAGGGTGCGCGTTAGTGATGAGGTGGTGAAGGGAGGCGAAGGTGGGGTGAGGGGTGAGGGGGGCGGTGGGTGGGAGGCAAAGGTGACGGTGGGTGGGAGGCAAAGGTGACGGTGGGTGGGAGGCAAAGGTGACGGTGGGTGGGAGGCAAAGGTGACGGTGGGTGGGAGGCAAAGGTGACGGTGGGTGGAAGGGAAGGGTGGAGGGAAGGGCGGGGAGAATGAGGACGAGGGAGAGGGCGGGGTGAGAGAAGGGCGGGGAGAAAGGGCGAAAGGAAATCACAGCGGCCCATTATATGCAGGAGAGTTAAGCGCGTAGACTCACCCCGCGCCATCCCCAACTCATACTCGCTCGCGCCCTTGATGCGCTCCCCGACGTCCTTGAACTTGTTTTCTTCCTTGAGCCGTCGTTTCTCGATCTGGTATGGCTCCGTCAGGAACGTTTGATGCGCGAGCATCGAGAGCTTACCTCGTAGGCTTCGAGGAGGAGCTCTTGGTGTGCGTCGACGGGCGGATTGTAGGATGCGCCCGCGTGGGGGGTGGGGACGGCGGGTGCGGCGATGAGGGCGGAGGGGTGGGTGTGGGTGGGGGGCTGGTGGATGGTGAGGTGGGTAGGGGGAGGGAGGCAGGAGGGAGGGGGAGGGGAAGGAGGAGGGCAGGAGGAGGGCAGGAGGAGGGAGAGGGCAAGGGGGAGGTAAAACAAAGAAAGGAGACGTCAGCGCACGACTCGACGATATGCATGCGACGAACACACCTTGACCGGTTTCGGCTTGACCATTTCGGAGACTCCAAAGCCGTTGTCCTTGTCGTCCTCATCGACGTCCATCTCCCAAACATCGTACGTGCCACTGTGCTTGACGGCCTCGGTGGGCTCGAGCAGCGCGCTCCCCTTGCCGAGCTCGGTGCCATCAACGTGCGAGCGCAGGGGTCCGCGGCGGGTGCGCCCTGCCGCGCGCATCAAGCGGTCCTTCTCTGCGCGGGGCACGCTCGCCGCCTTGCGCTTCTGCCCCACCGCGGGCACCGCCGAGCGCTCGGCGAGGATGGCGAGGCTTTTGAGCTGCCGCGGGATGGCCTTTCGCACACCGTCGTCGCCCTTGGTGTCGATGGCGAAGAGGGCAGCGTCGGGCTGGGCGTGGACGGGTGCGCCGAGGGCGCGCTCTTCGGCGCGGCGGTCGTCGAGGCGCTGTTCGACGGCGTCGATGTCGACGTGTTTGCGCCAGGCGCGCTTGCCTTTGCGGCTGGCCTGTGTGCGCTGGGCGGGGGCGCCGAGGTGGGCGCCAGAGTTCTTTTGGGTCGATGTCATGATGGTTGGTGTCGACGACGATGGATGGAAAATGTGATCGCAGGCGCGGGTGATCGGGATGATGGACGCCACATATTGCTTGCTGTCAACCGCGATGGACGCGCCGACGACGACTATGGCCTCCTCTACGCCTGGCACGGTGCGCATTACGTCCTCTGGCAAACTCAAGGGGTACATCGCCTACGCGCTCGCCCGCCTGCACGATCACCCCACCGAGCCCCTCGTCCTCCGCACCGACGCCGCTGCCGCCATCCCCCGCCTCGTCACCGTCGCCGAGATCGTCAAACGCGAGTTCCTCGCACAGCTCGATGTGGACAAGAGCCCACGGCTAGAAGGCCTCCATCAGTGGAACACGATCGGGAGCGTCGATGGCCCGCTGGTGCCGCAGAAGGAGAGCAAGAAACGCAAGCGGGGGCAGCCACCACAAGACGATGCCGAACAGCAAGCCGACGAAGGCGACGAACAGCAAGCCGACAACGACACAAGCCGCCCGCAGGCCATCCTCGACGCCCTCAGCGGCCCCAAACAGTCCGTCCACCCCTCCTCGCACCACCAGCCCCATACTTACATCCACCCTTAGCTTCATCCAGCGACAGGCCCCGTGGATGACCACCACGCTCAGTCTCAACATGATCAGTGGGCAGGATGGAAGGTACGTGTCCTTTATCTATGCGCCTCTTCCGTACTGTTTGTGCGCCTATTCCGTACTATCTCTGCGCCTCTTCCGTACTGTCTATGCGCCTCTTCCGTACTGCTTGTGCACCCCGTCCTCCCTCGTCTACTGCCTTCTGCCCCTTCCTCCCTCCCTTCCCTTACCCTTTTCCTCTCCTCACACCTTGCAATCTTTACTAACCCCACTACCCTCCAGCTCCTACCAACCCCCCCTCCCACGCACGCTCACAAAGTCCGCCCGTACGCGCGTCAAAAAGCGGCTCCGGGCAGAGAAGCGGGCCCACGAAAAGCCCGCGGGTGGGGAAGGCGTGGACGAGAATAAAGACAAGGAAGCGGGCGCGGGTGACGCCGCGATGGACGCAGGCGCGGGTGACGCGATGGACGCGGGCGCGGGTGACGCGATGGACACGCGCAAAGGCGACGCTGCGATGGACGTGGGCGCGGGCGAAGGCGACGCTGCCATGGAAATCTCAGCAGAGGGCGCACCCAGCGCACCAGGCGCACCTTGAGCCGCACCCACATTGCACCTTGAGCCGCACCCACATCGCATCTTTAGCCGCACCCACACCCTCAGCCGCCCACCAGCCTTCCCGCACCCACACCGCATCTTTAGCCGCGCCCACCTCCTTCACCAACCCGCCCGCCTCATCCTCCGCCACCTTCACCACCCTCTCCTTCACCACCCTACCATTAACCTCGCTGCGTCCAACTCCCCCACCGCACCCTCCCCTCCACCAACTCCCTCTCCTCCTCCAACTCCCTCTCCTCCTTATCCGCCAGCACCCACACCGCGCCCATATTCTCCCCCCCCCCCCCATACCCTCCGGCACCCACCCCCACGCCTCGCACAGTCCACCCCCACCCGGCTTCTTTCGCGAGGGAGGGCAGGGTAGGGAGGGCAGGGGTCGGAGGAGGGGGGGCGGGGCAGGGGTCGGAGGAGGAGGAGTGGGGAAGGGCAAGGGGTAGGGGAAGGAGGAGGAGGAGGGGGGCAGGGCAGGGGTCGGAGGAGGAGGAGGGGGGCAGGTCCCAGCGACCAGTCACCAGCCGATACAGAGCGGTAGTCACCAGCCCATACAAAGTGGAAGCGCACCGCAAGCCAGTGGTGCGGGTGCGGGTGCGGGTGCGAGTGACGGTGGTGCGGGTGCGGGTGCGAGTGACGGTGGTGCGGGTGCGAGTGACGGTCGGAGGAGGAAGCGGGTGCGAGTGACGGTCGGAGGAGGAAGCGGGTGCGAGTGACGGTCGGAGGAGGAAGCGGGTGAGGATTCAGGGGGAGGAAGCGGGTGAGGATTCAGGGTGGGGACGCGGGTGAGGAGGGGGAGGAGAGGTAGGGGGTGGGAGAGGATGGCTGGTAAGGAGAGGTAGGAGGGGGTAGGAGGGATGGAGGGGATGGACAAGTGACGCGCGCGGGGAGGGACAAGTGACGCGCCCTCTTCGCTGGGACGCGCCCTCTTCGCTGGGACAAGCGCGCGCGGGGGGACAAGGACGCTCGCACTGGACGCGAAGGTGCCGGGTGCACGAACGGCGCGGGTCGGTGCCGGGTGCACGAACGGCGCGCGGGGAATGAGAACGGCGCGCGGGGAATGAGAACGGCGCGCGGGGAATGAGAACGGCGCGCGGGGAATGAGAACGTTCGGCGGGTCGGTCCTGGGACAAGAACGCGCGCGCGGGGACACAGACCCTCCATCACGCCCTCGCACTTCGCCCGTTGGCGCTTCCGCCCGACGCCCCCCTTCGCCCAACGCCCGTCGCCCCTCGCACTCCGCCCCCCTTCGCCCGTCGCCCCTCGCCCGACGCCCTCGCCTCCGCCCTCCGCCCGCCTATCTGCCTCAGTCCGTGCCCTCCCCCTTCGCGCCCGAACGCCCTCCACAAGCGCCCTCGCCCTCCCCTTCGCCCCCATCGCGCCCTCCGCCCATTTCGCCCGTCGCCCACGCCCCCATTCGCCTTCGCCTTCCACCCCATTCGCCTTCGCGCGCCTCAGTCCGTGCCCTCCCCATCCGTCCCCCGACCACTATCCCCCTCCGTCCCCCATCATGCGCCTTCGCCCATCGCCCTCTCCCTCGCCCTCGCGCCTGCCTAGGCGAGGCCGCCTTCGCCCGCCTCGCACCACGCCCCCCTTCGCACCACACTCGACCACGCCCCCGTCACGTCTGCCTAGGCGAGGCCGCCTTCGCCCGCTTGCTAGGGGAGGCCGGCCTTCGCCCGGCGCCCTCGCCTTCGGCCAGGAGGGGGGACGCGATCGGCTAGGAGGTGGGACGCGATCGGCTAGGAGGTGACGCGATTGGCTAGCGAGGGGGGGGGGGACGCGAGCGGCGGGATGAGAACGGATCCCAATGGGATGAGAACGGATCCCAATGGGATGAGAACAGATTCCAATGGGATGAGAACAGATTCCAATGGGATGAGAACGGATCGCAATGGGATGAGAACGGATTCTGGGATGAGGAGAGGAGGGAGCGACGGGGCGAGAAGACGGTGCAGGTGCAAGACGAAAGACGGGCGAAAGACGGGGCGAGAAGACGGGACGAGAAGACGGGGCGAGAAGACGGGGCAATGGGGAGACGAGGGGGCGAGAAGACGGGGCGAGAAGACGGGACGAGAAGAGGGCACGAAAGAGGGGCGACGGGGCGACGGGGCGACGGGGCGAAAGGCGGCGGAAGGAGTAGGCGAGGAGACATTGGGGCAAGGTGACGTGGTAGAAGTCGAGAGCACGGGTGGCGAAGGGGACGATGGGCGGCGATGGAGGACGGGAAATCTCCAGGAGTCACCGGGCGGCGACGGACCAGATTTTTAAATTTCCCCTCGGCGGAGTAATGTGTCCAGCCTACGGCGTGCCCCGGTGAAGATGTGTCCACTGTGCGGACGGAGATTTGTGCGGACGGAGATTTGCCACTTTCCAACTCTGACATCAGATATATCCTGTATGGTACTCTACCTATGAACGTAACAGATGCACCGTTGAGGGGAAAACCTCGACACCGTCCTGGACGCATCTTCACCCCCTGCCGAGCTGGACACATCTTCACCGGGGCACGCCGCAGGCTGGACACATTACTCCGCCGTCCTGGAGTCTGGACGCGCCGAGCTGGACACAGTGCAATACTTACCAGGCCGTTCGGGTAGTCAAACATCATCAGAATATACTTACATGGATGAGAAAACAGGCAAAACAGGCATGAGCGATGAAAAACATGGCATGAGCGATGAAAAACATGGCATGAGCGATGAAAAACATGGCACTGTGAGCGAGGCAAAAAACATGGCACTGTGAGCGATGAAAAACATGGCACTGTGAGCGAGGCAAAAAACATGAGTGATGAAAAACATGGCACTGTGAGCGAGGCAAAAACATGAGGCAAAAACACATGTTACAGTGGGAAAAAGATCATGTTCCAGTGGTAAAAAAGATCATGGGCCTAACTGGGAATTGAACCCAGGACCTCTTCCATCTGACGCGTCGGGTCACGACGCGGGTTTGAACACCCGCGCCTCCAGCGCGGGTTGCGGAGAACCCGAAGGAAGAATCATACTACTAGACCATTAGGCCGTGAAGGCAGGGTCACGGGTGAGTTATCTGAGGAAGGGAAGCAGGTGGGTAGGTTTCTTGAGGAAGGGAAGGCGCGCGTCAGGACGAGGAGGGCGCTGTTTAGGCGTCTCAGCGAGGCAGGCGCTGTTTGGGCGTCTCAGCGAGGCAGGCGCTGCTGGGTGGTCCTGTGGGTAAAAGGACTCGGTGTCAAAAGGACTCGGTGTCAAAAGGACTCGGTGTCAAAAGGACGTGGAGTTGCTTGAATACTTGACTGTCGAACAAATACAAAGTTGCCCCGCGAGCCGGTGGACGTCTTGCATACAGTTGGGTCCCATCGTCGGCGAGGAGATTATACATGAATTATGGATCATGATTATACATGAATTATGGAACATGATTATACATGAATTATGGATCATGATTACACCCTGTCTATAAACTAGTACTACACCCTCTCAAGATACCCCTCGGCCATAAGATGCGCCAGCTAAGAGCTCGTCAGATCTCGTGTCCATATACGATGATATAAGGAAAATCACTCACAGCCTCGTCTCTGCTTGCCTTCCGCGAGCGCTCGTGCTCCGCACGTTTTGCCGCGGTGAGCGTTCTGGCTGAAGTCGGGTTGTTCCAATCTCGAAGCACGCCGCATGTCGTCTTGTGGCTCTCCCAGGTATCTCGGCAGTCGTCGTAAAGGACGGCGCCGCGGCGTGTCGAGATAGCGACGCCGCAGCCCGCGCAGGCAATGGCGTACGGCCCGAAAGACCTGATCGTGGGATTCGCGCTCATGTCCTCAACGCGTTGGAGGACGTTTCGACCACTGAGGGCGCGAGTGCCGGTGTACATGTACTTAACGAGTCCATCCGAGCTGGTGGCCGAATGGATTTTGGAGGGCACGCGTTGGTTCTTGTACGGCCGTGGAAGCGGGAGCGGCGTTTGAACAGGCGCCCAGCGCACGTCAAGGGGCTGACTATTAGCAGAGGAATGCCCGGAAAAGGCGGCAGGATTCTTCCCGGACGAGGCGGCTAGCGGAGGCGCAGAAGATGGAGCAGATGGCGGAGGTCCAGACGCCGTAGCAGACGTGCTAGAAGATCCAGCTGGCTTTGGAGGCTGATATAAACCTCTGTAAGCCTCCGCAGTAGTAAGCCACCCCTGCCGCTCGATTTGCTGCTGAGTCAGTGCCGGCGAAGCGCCGTGACCGCGGCTGGCTGTGGGATCAACAGAGCTGGGGATTCCATGAATATGTGAGCCTTTGACTGGCTGGCACAGACTGCTCACCCCCGAGGATGTTGGCGATGAGCCATTCTAGAGAAGTTGTTAAGTGAGGATGCGGTGCTGGATGTCGCTCAGAAGGGTCAAACTGGGCGGTGAGATGATCGGGCGTACAGGAGAGGTCTTATACTCAGTCGGGTCTGTAACACCATGTTTGGGACCGCGTCGCATGTCGCTCTTTGTGACCTCGATTAATGAAATGTGAATTTATGACCGTGAGTCGTGGAAGGTCTCAGCACGTACCTTGACTCGGTCACAACACGATAGGCAGGTCGCTTGTTCAGCCAGGAGCTCGCGCGCGTAGCGCGCGGTGGCGAAAAAAACCAGCCGATCATTCTCTTACTGACCTTGCAAGCACGAATGTGAGCATGGAAGGTGTACTTCAAGCTCACCGTATGTACACACAATGGAGAACGAATAACGCTAACCAAAGATTGCTGCCGTAATGATGAGTCGCTCAGAGAACGTAAATTTGCGACGGAGGCGCAGGCTCCCAGTGGAAGGCCGCGGCGGGGTGGGAACGATGAAGACCAAAGTTGAGAGAAACTATCTAGTGGCGCATACAAATGTCTGCAGACCACGTCGAGGAGCATTTGAAGCGGCTGTGGTGGCAGGTCAAACTTACTCAGGGTCAAGCGTGGGCGCGAGAGGACAAGACGTGTCACGTGTGGTCGATACCTGCCGCATAAATGACGTGTTGCGGAAATTGCCGGACGATGAAGTTCGTCTTCGGAAAGCGGACAACCATGCTTGCGCATCGCAGAAAATCGGACAGAATAGGGAACAAACGGCAGCGATCACGTATCTTGATAGCTTGATTACACTTATTCTGCCTCAGGCCTGGCGAACACCTCTTCAAGGCACGTTTGCCATGGCCCATGGCAGTCGGAAACGCGCGCAGGTCAGAAAACCGCACGCAAAGCGGGTAACTGGATTGGTTATTTCGTATAAGTACAGTATACATGGGCGTCTAGCGCGATCTTCGACGTTGTAGATAACAGCTCGGATGCATAGCTCGAGTTGCTATACCTTCTCAATCAGCTTCTCCCTCTCGAGATGTGCTGGCTGAGATGAAGTCAGGGCCGATAACTCAAAATTGCACAGCTTGATCCGGGAACAGTACTAGGCGTGGACAGGCTCTCATGCACACCCACAACTACACCCTCTGAATCAGTTTTTTGTCCTCAAGATACGCGAGCTAAAGTTCATCGTCAGACACACCATTCCAGATCGCTCAGAATAGCAACAAGAACCTTTCACTCACAGCCTGATCCGTGGACGCCCTCCGTAAGCGCGTGAGCTCTTCCTGCGTCTTCGCCGTCAGGTAGTAGCGCGAAGCCGGGTCGTCCCACTCTCGGGCCACACTGCATCGGGCAGCATGGTAGAGCCAATGCTTGTCGTTGAAGTCTTTGCTATGATCAGAAACATTGGTTCCGCATGCGCACTTGATATTGCAGGCGCTGAAAGACTGTATGATGGGATCCGCGCTTATGTCTTCGACGCGCTGGAGGACGTTCCGACCTTGTCTTGGAGAAATTCCCGCGTAGATGTACTTGAGTCCATGCGAGTCGGAGACCGAATGGACCTTGGGGCGCACGCGGTAGCTCTTGGACGGCCGTGGAGGCGAGAGCGGCGTTCGAACGGGCGCCCAGCGCACGTTGAGGGGCTGATTGCTAGCAGAGGAATGTCCGGAAGAGGCGGCTGGCGGAGGCGCAGAAGATGGAGCAGATGGCGGAGGTCCAGACGGCGTAGCAGACGTGCTAGAAGATCCAGCTGGCTTGGGAGGCTGATATAAACCTCTGTAAGCCTCCGCAGTAGTAAGCCACCCCTGCCGCTCGATTTGCTGCAGGGTCAGTGCCGGCTGAGCACCGTGGCTGCGACCGGTTGTGGAATTGATGGGGCTGGGAGGTCGGTGAGTATGAAATTCTTTTATCATGCGAAGGTCGAATACTCACCCTTGAGGACGCTGACGTTGAGCCATTCTAGAGAAGTCGTCGATTGAAGACAGATTGCTGATTGTTGCTCGAGGAGGTCAGGCTGGGCGGTGAGCTGGACGAGGGTATAGACGAGTTCTTATACCCAGACAAATCCCTATGACCATGTTTAGGACCGCGCTGCATGTCGCTCTTTGTGACCTTGATTCTTGTTCGATTGTGACCTGCGCGCTGTGCGTTATGAGCTGACAGATATAGTGGAAGGCCACAGCACGTACCTTTACTCGGTCACAGCACGGCAGGTAGACTGATTATCCATTTTCCGGAGCTCTCGCGCGCGTGGCGCGCAATGGTGGCCACTGGCGAGGAAGACCAGCTGTTGGTCTTCGTCCTCTTGTTGACGAGCAGGTATTTGACAATGGCGAGCTGGTTCCAAGCTACGCGTATATCGACTAAAGTGAGACTGGTGTCGAACAAGGAGTCACTACCGCTGCAATGGGCTGTCGCTCAGGGAACGTGCACTTACGGGGCGCTGGTGGTAGGCTTGAAGGCCGCGGATTCGCCGGTCGATTGTGTGGCTTCGAGGTGAGGCTCTTCAGTAAAATTCGAGAACAGGCCTTGCGTAACGCATGCTCGAGGCGGCGAAGGTGAACATCTTATGGCGGCGTCATGCAGGCAAGCGCAGGTCAAGCGTAGGCGCGTGCCGGCAGCTGCCGGACATTGCCGAACTTCAAGTAATGACAACTCAGTCGCAGTGCTTGATCAACCTTGCGTGTCAGAGAGACCGAAAAGAACGACAGAACCCACATCAAATCTGCTGTCTTCAATGTGTTTGAGACTCGGCAGTGAACGAACTGCGAAGGAAGTGTACGCACATCCGAGGTACAGACATGAGTCGAAATGATAATGTACGCAGATCAATATTCTAGTCATTTACTTATGCTATCTATGAGTACGGTATAAGGCTCGGAGGTCGCATAGCGCATAGTATCATGGTCCCAGCTTCCGGTACACACACGCTGCAAGTTCCTACACCTTCTCAACCAGTTTCTTGTCCTTAAGATACGCAAGCTAAAGTAAATCGTCAGATATCTCATCCGGATTTAGCTGAAAGGACATAAAACTCACAGCCCGATCCCTGGACACCCTCCGTGAGCTCGATAGCTCCGCCTGCATCTCTTCCCTGTAAGATGAAGGGCGATTTTTCCACAGGCATCTACTTGAACTCGCATGATCGCGCCAGGTCGTGTCGTTGAATTCCCACATGTTGTTCGTCATTGTAACGTTGCACGCGCATACGACTTGATGGACGGCGAACGCCTTGATGTTGGGATTTGCGCTCATGTCTGCGACGCGCTCGAGGACATTTCGCCCACGGAAGGCTTGGGTGCCGATGTACATGTACTCAATTCCGCTCGAGTCGGAGACCGTATGGATCTTGGGGCGTACGCGCTGGTCCGTGGACGACCGTAAAGGCGGGAGCGGCGACGACGAAACAGACGAGAGGCCGCGAGCCGTGGCTTGCTCGGATTCGAAGCTGGAGCGTGTAGTCGAGAACGACGCCTGGCGCAGGTCGAAGGGAGAGTTGCCGGATGATGTGTGCGTAGGAGTGGCGAAGGAGGGTGGGTATCCGCCAGCAGAGGCCGGGTACGTCGAAAAACTGGCAGAGGACATGTACGCGCTGGAGCTCGAAGACGACGAGTACGCGTTGGAGCTCGAAGATGACGAGTACGTGCCGGAGCTCGAGGAAGACGTATAAGCGGGAGTGCCGGTGAAGGTCGAATGACCGAAGGTGCTGGCAGACCCGCAAGATGCGGC